GCCTCTTCTACCCAATGGTGAGTTTAGGGTTATGTCCTTGAGTACAAATCAGTCCTTCTCATGCTAACAATATTCTACTTGATATCATGTGGAATGCATGCATTTAGTAAAATACAACAAATAGTAAAAATCTTGCTCAACACTAAAAAAACCTGAGTATCAATCAAAACTAAATCCTTTCTTATTAAAAAGAAGACTTCCAAAATAAAAGAAAGTTGAGGTATATAGTTTCATTTGCAAAACTATATAAGAATGAAAGAGGACATTGCATGCTAGTTCTAGTTATTTATAAATAGAATGCACTTACATTAAGAGAAATTTAAACAGAAATAGAACTGATTGCTATGTAATTCTTACTTTTTTGATGGAAAAATGATTTTACTTTGCTAAAACAGTGTTTCCAAGCCATGGTCTAAGAGGCTTATTTTAGTTCTTAAGTAAAATTCCTGTCATAGTCACTCTTTATTCATCACCAGTTTTCCCTTATGATGGCTATTTAAAAAAAAAAATTTTATTTATTTATTTATGCATAGAAGAACTGGGGTGTTGGGCCTCCCGGGTGGCGCAGGTGGTTGAGCGCCGCACTGTGAAGCTGCCAGCAGCCTCTGCAGTGCGGGTTCTATCCAGGCTGGCCGGCAAGAATCCCACATGGCAAAGCAGACCTCTCCTGTCTCACCCGCTGCTCCCCTCAGCAGTGCATTTCTTCAGTCTGCCTGTTCTGTTCCCTGTTCTGTTCTGTTTGCTGTCTCTCGTGAATACTCTCACTCTCCTGTGCATGTGGCCTGTACCCTGGTTCTTATATAAAAATAAATAAATCTTTAAAAAAAAAGAACTGGGGTGTAGGCCAGAGGTGTGGGTCATGAGAAGATTCACCAGCAACAAAATGGGGAGCAGAACAGGCTACTCTACTGAAATAAACTGCTGAGGGGAGCAGCAGGCGAGACAGGAGAGGTCTGCTCTGCCATGTGGGTTAGCTTGCTGGCCAGGAATCGAACTCAGGCTGCAGTGGCTGGTGATAGCTTGATAGTGCTGAGACTGGCTGATGATAGCTTGATAGTGTTGAGACTTTAACCCCTGCACCACCAGGGAGATCCCCTAATCATGGATATTAGGATAATATCACCAAATTCACAAACTAGAATGATAGGATGTCTACTGAGACATAACTTATTTTTTAAAAATATTTTTAATTTATTTATTAGAGCTCCAGTGGCCTGTAAGTTCTCTTTTCCATCTAGAAACTGAACAGTTAAGTCAAGGAAAAGAATGATAAGCTAGATCTCCCCAGATAAAAAAATAGAAATGTGGACATGTGATATTATTACTCCATGACAATAAACAAACACTTTAATACCAGAAACATGGGTCAAGTTTGACCATATTTGACTATAACAGCCATTAATTGAGCTATTTTTCTCCACCTCATTCCATGAAAAATTGAAGGCTAAATTATGTAAACCTCCTTTCTGTGTATGGTACTTTCTGTTTCCACTCAAATCATGATGGCCTTCCTTTAGTGCTTTTTACCGATCTATATATTTTTTAAGTACTATTGTTTCACATCCTTGTTAGTGTTTTGACAGTGTAGGATCCCCCCTGGGTGTAGTCATATAGTAGTCTCAACACCTAAGCACCCATAATCCTTTACCTTACCCCATAAAGCTAATCCCTTTTCACTCCTCCCTCTGCCCCTCTGGATGCCTCAGAAATGGTCTATAAATTACTTTCAAGTCAAGGCTTATTTCTGGTCTCCTTTTGTGGTTCATTTCTCTATGGGACAAGCAATCCCAAGCCTCATCAGATTCAAGGGGAAGACACATAGACCCCACCACTTAGTAACAGGAATGAGAAAGCATTTGTAGTCATATCTTAAAATCTACCACAATGTGATCTCTGGTCATACATATTTTAGATGCCTCACATAGTCAAATACACTTATATTCTCTCATGACCCCCAGAGCTTCATCTAATTGCAGGATCAACTAATAGGGATAACTATATCAGACAAAATTAAAAAAATAACTTTGGACCCTAACTCTAAGTGCTTCCCATGTAAACACAACAATGAACTAAGCTTCTCAACTGGAAATTTAAAAATAAAAAGAAATAAAGATGCATTAAACGTTGAACATGTGCTACGGTACATATAACCTTTGTACAAGGATAAGGAGTAATTTGCATATTAAATAATCCTATTCTTTTTTCAACTTAGTATAATAATTGAATAGCAACCATCAATGAAGTAGGACAAAAGAGGGCTATTATCATAAATGTTAGTTTGATCTTTCAAGGAGATTTGATTACCTTCTACCCAGACTCCACTTCACTCACTTCAATGGAGGTTTTGCTTTTCATCAGCCTAATGTCAAGTGCCTTTGTTGCATCCAAAAACATATTCCAAATAAAAGGCAAAGAACAGTTTCCTTTCTGAAGAATTTATGAGAAACATGGCTCTTTCATGGTAACACTTCTTATGAAAAGAATGTGGTTGAAAGACAAACCTAAGAAGAGCCTGATCTAAGAAAGCGAAAGATATCAAGCTACTCATAACACATCAATGAAACTAACTTAGCACCACCTTTCCTCAGGTAAAATATATATCCCTTCATGATAAAAGATTCTGATATTTCTAATAACCTCTGCCAATCATTTTCCTTCGTTCTTCTTGTAGTCTAACATTGAACATAGCTGAAGAGCTGAAATGGGTTAGTATAGCTAATGGCAATTCAGATATAAGTGTATATATAGGGATAGATAAATACACACACATATATACACATAGATGTATATATTTAATAAAGTTTGTCAGCCACTAATTTTAATCAGTGACATCAGGATTAACTGAAGGAATCATTAAATTAATCCAATATTGAACACAGTTTTTTTCACTAAAGGACTTCCATACTCCATATTCCTCACGTGAACTAAGGAATTTATAAGCTCAATCTGTAGATTCTGAACAAAGGAAAAGACAAATTTCTCATCTGCTCCAAAATGACTGATGGTAATGCACTGCCATCCCTTCCATCTATTGTATCAACAGGCAAGAGAGTGACTGTGGGGTCTCCCCTGTTGGCACAGCAGTTGAGGGTGGCCACCGGGCGAGGGTCCCACGTGGCACAACAGACCTGCCGTGCCCGCTGCTCCCCTCAGCAGTGTATTTCGTCAGTCTGCCTGTTCTGTTCCCCATTCTGACTCTGGTGAATTCTCTCACCCTCCCGTGCATCTGACTGTACCCAGTGCTTCTATAAATAAATAAATAAATCTTAAAAAAAAAAAGAGAGAGTGACTGTGGCTTTCCCAACTTTATATAAAGACAGAAGGCATTTATCTCTGGATTACAATGACTGACTCTGACACACAGGAAGAGAGACATTCTATTATGCTACAAGGTCTCTTAAGGCAAAATTTTTAGGCACAATATAAGAACATTATGAAGTTCCTGTGTGCATTCAAACGTTAGTAACCAAAATTAGGGTTGTCATAGAAACAATACAGTAAATTGCATTTAAAAGCAATTGTTTACAAAATAAAATAAAATCAATTTATTAAAATTCAGAACTACTAGATGATACAACAGTAATAAATAACACACTGACCAGCAATATCATGTAGCATTACTGGGGTAGCTAGATGTTGTCACTTAGATTTTACAAAAGTTTTGCAACTAGGTAATGTTTCCACATTTCATAGGTAAGGAAGCTGAGGTTACATAGTAAGAAACGGAGGTTCATAGATAAGAAATTAGCCCAAGTCCACCAAATAAAATAAGGAAGTCCTAGATCTGCTTGACTCCAAATAATCTTTTTCTTATGAAACAATTCTATACCAAAAAGTGAAAACAAAAACTACATAGACCAGAAATGTGTCCCAAAATCAGAGAACATAAAATTTTATCAGTTGGATAATAAGAAAATTCATCTTATTATAATGCTTCATTTACACAGTGTGTATTTTGCTACAACTATATTACTACTGTGAAGAAATACCCAAGAAATCTTAGAACACTTATTTAGTTTTGTGGTCTATGAGCCCTTAATCTTCTATCACGCCTTATCTTCCTGACTTGTGTTTTTGAATTCTCCAATTTTTCATAGTCTTTGATAGTATAGCTGAGATGAATTTTTGGAAATTACTTTCAATTCCTGTTCTGAAGTATCTGTTTTATTGGAAGATAAAATTAAAGACCAGGGAAAAGAATTTCCCATTTTCCCCTAGGTAGGCATAGTCTTTTTTCACTAATACACTCTATCCACATTGCATTCAGGCCATTAATTATTGGTATGAGAAGCTATTGTCTGACTTTCATAGACCCCACCTTAATAATCACATAATAAATTTACTAAGTCAATATATGAAGGACAGGACTTTAGGCTGTGGGGAAAAATGGATACATTCACAAGCAATTGCAAAATCTTTTCACAGAATATTTTCGTACTAATTCCTTTGATAATTTTTAAAAATCCAAATAAGGAATCTTCATATTTGTCCTCCTATTTTCAGCTTAATAGGAAAATCTAACCTGACAAAAAATTAGAAATATATCTTTCTGGAAGGGAAAGACAATAGAACTTCTTATATGTCAATGAAGCATTATAATTGAAAATCTAATAATCATTTCCTCTTTGTATATTTGTCTATAAAAACAAATTTGTATATAAAAATAAAAATATGTATTATCAAAGTGATCTAGGCTCTATTCTTATTAGAAAATAGAAACATGAACATAATTAGCTGCCTATTAGAATTTCATAAATAAAAATGATTAGAAAGATATAACTTTTTCTTTTGTGTAATTCTATAACTTGGACTTGCCTTTGAATAAACTACTTTGTGATTATTTTTCATTACATCAGCAATCCAATGAGTACATTTCATCCAGAAAAGACAACAATCAATATTAACAAGGCTTTGAAAAGAAAATAATCAGTGTTGAAAACTTGAAAATGACTTAGTTATTCTATTAGCAAATGTTAACTGTCATACCTGTATCTACTCACCCATAAGTCCTAAAAGAATGTAGGCAAAAATGAACAGTATGAAGATCAGGCAGCATAAAACATCTGTACAACTCCTAAAGACAAAAAGGAACAAAGAATTAAAAAAGACCCAAATTGTATTCTGTTTACTGCGTAAAATATAGAAAAAGATGATGATGATGATGATGATGATGATGGTGTGCCATGTGATATCCAGTAATTCTGAAAGGTACATCAGATGTATTTCCACAAAGACTTTAGCAGCAATGAAGTGGTGACAATTCCATGATGAAAGAAACTCCCCCAGAATTTTATGCACTTATTCTCTCTTGGCTCATTCTTTGTAAAATGATTTTGAGATTAGAGTATACCAACATTAAGTACTATTTTTTATTTGATATTACAATTTAAGCTATTGATTTTATGATTTTCCTTTTCCTGCCTCCCTAACACATATTATAGTATTTTTTTTTTTAAGATTTATTCATTTTTATACAAGAACCGGGGCACAGGCCAGATGCGCAGGAGGCGGAGAGGATTCACCAGAGACAGAGCCGGGAGCAGAAAAGGCAAACTGACTGATACACACTGCTGAGGGGAACAGCAGGCAAGTCAAGATAGGCCGCGCGATGTGGTATCTCCGCAGCCGGCGAGGATGGAACCGGCACTGCAGAGGCTGCGGCAGCTTCACAGCGCTGCACTCAACTGCCTGCGCCACCTAGGAGGCCCAACATAGTATAGTATTAAAAAAATCAGTCATTTTCCATTCCTTCCTTTCTCCATTTTCTTTCTACATACACATCTTGGGGGTACTGTTATAATAAAATATTGACACCAACAATGTCAAATAGTTACACCAACAATGTATATAACTCAGCAAAAATGAAATGTCTCAAAACTGTAATTTTTCCAGCTCTCTTGTAAACTAGATATCATCAAATTAGGTTTAGAGAAAATTTGGCTCACAGATACTCAAAGATTTGCATTCGGGATCACAAGTCAAGCCAGGACCCAGCAAGACTCCAGGTTTTCAATTAAAGTGTTTCCTACTCCCAATAAATTTTGTTCAGTTTATAAGTGGTCTGGAAGGTAAAAACTGTATCTTGCAAGTGAAAAACAATACAACCATTCCTTGTTTGAAACATAATGAAGAATCTGTCAGTAAAGAAAAAGATCAACCTATTTGACAGGATTAAAAGTTGTATGTAAGAATTTTCACAGCAAAAACTTCTTGCTCTTGAGGGCATAGGAATATGCTCTAATCTTTTAGTAAAGGCAGGCTGAAGTTATACAATAATAATAATAAAGGAACAATAACTGTATTATACTGATGAGCTTGCATACATAATTGTGAGTTTCCTAAAATATCTGCAGGTTTTTAGGGATGATAAAGTTAATTGACATACAAAGAAGTAGTTAAAGAAGCAGGCAACTATCTAGAGCTCCAGTACCTAACCTTTCATTTAGTAGTTATGCTACTGTGGTCACGATTTTTACAAAGGTTCAAATTAGCCATATCTAAAACTCCATGTACATTCCTAGTATCCTACCTCACAATAGGAAATGGATCTATCTTTCACAGAGAGAGTTGATCATGGTTAAATAGACACAAACTATCATGTGTGTAAGCCCAATTTCAACTCAGAATTTTAAAATTTCATGCAGACTTAAGAAATGTGAGAATAATAACAGAAAGAGAATAAAAGGTGTTCTAGTTTTCTTTGATTAACCACCACTGAAGACAGAAGCCTGCTTAGGGGTGAGGAGAGTATCTGATTCACATGCATTCTGACACATTCCACTCAAGATCAGGTTGTCATCCCTCAGAGCTGTTGTTAAATAGTGAGATACATAATAAGAAATGCCTTCAGATAAGAAACTAAAGGAGAGAAAATAGAACACTGCACGCTTTCATTAGAAATCTTGAAGTTGGGCCTCCGTGGTGGCGTAAGGGGTTAGGCACTGCATGGTGGAGCAATCCGCAGCCTCTGCAGCACGAGTTCAATCCCAGGCTGGCCAGGGAGTGACCCACATGGTGCAGTAGACCTTTCCTGTCTCGCCCGCTGCTCCCCTCAGCAGTGTGTTTCAGTCAGTCTGCCTGTTCTTCTTCCTACTCTCCCTGGTGGGTCCTCTCACCCCCCCACATCTCATCTCTGGCCTGTGCCCCAGTTTTTGCATACATGAATAAATAAATCTTTCCAAAAAAGAATATTTATAAAAAAATAAAAGAGAAATCTTGAAGTTGTTAAAGCCCTTGTTATATTTCGTATCTACCAAGAAAAGGGAGAGACAGCTGTGATCAGAAGCAGCAGCCTGGTTGACCACCATCCACAATTGTATATCTATAAATTTACATTATATGTAATGCATATCATAAATCATGTTTACAACAATCTACTGTCACTTAGCATTATTATGTTGTATATTCATGTTACATAGGAAGCTGTAGGGTAAAGAAAATATCAGGCTTTTCTGCCCTTCCGCCATCAGGATAGATGATGGATCCTTGTCCTGAATGCATGCCTGATGGCGGGCACCTGGAATAGGGTGTGGGCATAGGTGGATGGGATTCAGCTGAGCTAAGACTGTGCTTTTAAGGGCGGCGTCACGGGGACGCCAGCAGCAGCAGTAGAAGCCGAAGCAAAAGCCTAAAGAGAAGCCGAGATCACCAGAGAGCCCAGATAGAGTGAAGATTTGCTGGGGGCTGGGAGGCCTGCCAGCCTCCCGGCCCCCCAGCCAGCACCCCTGCCTGTCATATGCCTGGTGAACCCCAATAAAAAACCTGCAAAAACCCACTAAGGACTCTGACTCCTTTACCCGGTCTGCATGGGATCAGAAAACCTGCATTGTGCCCAGTTCTGCCTCTACAGAAGCACAGGCAGAAGTAACCATAACAGAAAGATGACTGAAAGAAACTTACCAATTTCAAAAGACAGGGCACAAGGAAAGAGGCAGAGCCCAAAAGGATATAGTTTTTAAAGTCCACATTCCTCAGCTCCTGACACTGATGAATAGGCACCCATTGCAGTTTTGGTTTGTAGGTGCAGGACTGACCACAGTGCAGGTTTTCTGATCCCATGCAGACCGGGTAAAGGAGGAGTCTGAGTCCTCAGTAGTTTTGCAGGTTTTTTATTTGGGGTTCACCAGGCATATGGCAGGCAAGGGTGCTGGCTGGGGGGCTGGGAGGCTGGCAGGCAAGTCTTCACTCTATCTGGACTCTGGCGTTCGTTCTGCTGCTTCTCGGCTTCTGCTTCGGCTTCTCCTGCTGCTACTGCTACTGCTGCTGCTGCTGCTGTTGCCGCTGCTACTGGCATCCCCGTGACGCCGCCCTTAAAAAAGCACAGTCTTAGCTCAGCTGAATCCCATCTACCTATGCCCACACCCTATTCCAGGTGCCCGCCATCAGGCATGCATTCAGGACAAGGATCCATCATCTATCCTGATGGCGGAAGGGCAGAAAAGCCTGATATTTTCTTTACCCTACAGGTTCCATAAAAGTTTTACACTATGATGTTGCCTCCCTCCCTCCCTCCCTCTCTCTCTCTCTCTCTCTCTCTCTCTCCACACTACAAACAGGGGCCACTCCTTGTCCACGCAAACTTTGCCCTCAGCACTCTTTCACCACAGTGGCATAGCAATTTTCAATAATTCACATGGTGATGTGTTTGTGTATTCTATTCAAATGTATTCCACACTGCTTTAGAGAAATAGCGGACTATACCTACTGACCAGACTGGTTAATTTTATTTTATTTAAGCACAAAATAATGTTGAACAAACTGGAAACTGTGAATGTTGAATTCAAAAGTCTCAAAAAGCAGGACATTGTGTTCTAGATGAAACATTTATATTTTTGAATTCATCCTATAGTGGTTTAATTCCCTTTCCTACCTTTCCTTCTTTAGAAATTTCCTTTTAAAAATAGGTGTGTCAGCTGAAGATTGTTCTGAGAAAATTGTTGAGAAATCCTTAAGCTTAACTAGAGCCTGGCTAACAAGTTGATACTCCGGGATTTCTATAATCAAGCAGCAAGAATTTAAGAACCTAGAGAGGCAAGTCCACCTGGGAATATTTAGTAGTTCAAACTTGTGTCCTTTTAAGAAGCAGGAACACCTGTTAGCTTAGGTTACAGCAGGCTGTTTTTTGATGAATAATGTAATTTGCTGGACAGCAATTGTTCTGTGTGTCAGGAGAATTAACCAAACTGATTATAAAGTAAACTGAAAAATTGACAAGAAATGGGACTAGTAAAACAATGGAAATGTCTACTCTCAATGGTATAGCATTAGCTCTTCAAAATGGTATTAAAAGGAAAGACTTAGATTTTAATGTGTGCTCTTCAAAGCAGCAGCCACGGTCTTCTCTGAGTTTACTAATTCCCAGGACCCAGCAAAGGGGTGATTTTTATATATATATCCTGATGCTTTTTGCTCATCTGCTTGCCAGCGTGATGACTAAGTCCAAAAAAATGAAGATTGGCTATTTTAAGGAAGTTTCCCTAATTCCTAAATAATAAACATGGTACTGTAGAACGATACCAAGCATACCACAAATTTGGAATAGTGAAAACGCTGTTACATATTTTTTAATAATAAAATTGATCTATCTCTCCTTCCCAAAAATAAATAAATAAAATAAAAGTAGATGTGTGTGTGTACTTTCAGGTAATTATGATTACTTGTCATTTATTGCATTAATTCGTATATTTCTCTCCCTTTCCCCAAACATGTCCCCTGGTACTTAGAAAACTACTGGAAAACTGACTTTGAACAAAAGATAAAATATAACTTGGGCACCATTTTGTGAGTCAGTAACAGGGCAGAAGCTCAATTAAAATTTTTAGACATCATATAACGCTTTATCATTATCCCTTTCTTTTGATTTCAGGACACCTGTCACAATCCTAAGTGTTCTGTAGATTATATGTTATATTTAAAACCAAGGATTTTGTTGGGATCATTTTTAGACAACTGTTGAGGTAACTAGGTGACACAAGCTATGGTTGAAAATCATTCTGAATCATATTCTTTCTAGAGGTCTGTCACAGCTATACCTTTTCCTCAGGTGGACACATTTTTATGTTCATAGCAAGCACT